ACCCCGAATCGGTGGGTGCCCCGGCTCCCCCCACAACCCAGCATCCCTGGGGAGGGGGGGGCTGCAGGCAGCTGAGCATCACTTTGGGCAATGCTGGGTTTGGGGTGCCCACGTGTGGGAGAAGTGATGCAGCACGGGGGCCCCTGGCCGGGCTCAGCACCCCGTGTTCCCCCCCCAGCTCTTCCTCCTCGAAGAGATGCGGGAGCGGAAATTCGACGGCTTTGCCCGCGTGATCCAGAAGGCCTGGCGCCGGCACATCGCCATCCGGAAATACGAGCAGATGCGAGAGGAGGGTAAGTCTGGGCAAGGATGGGGGCACTGGCACCCCAGCACCCCTTTTAGGGTGCCCTTCACTGGGGCCAGCCCAGCTCCTAATTGTGGCCCTAACGAGGAGGGACCGGATCATGAGATGCTCCAAGGTCTTTTCCTACACCTTAAAGGAGGGTGCGGACTTCTTGCTCCCATTTCCAGCCCTGGGAGGGGCCATAGGACAGGAACGGGAGCCCCTCGCTGTCTTGCTCTGCATTTCATTGCCCGCACTGAGCTGGAGAGGAATTGCTGAGAGTCAGCATCGGGATGGGAAAGGCCCAGTGGTCACCGCCCGACCCCATCGCGGGCGTTTTCCCACCCTCCCAAGCATCCAGTGAAAAACCAAGGGGAAAAATCCAGAAAGCAGCCGGGTCCCTCCCTCCCACCGCAGGAGTTTTTTTGAGGGCAATTGCTGGGTTTCAAAGCCAGCCAAGCTCAAGCAGCTCAGATTCCTCCCCTGGCATAAAACGAGCCCCATTTCATGGTGCCACGGTCCACGCGATGGCTCCCACGGCTCCGGCAGCCGCTTTGGGAGGGCAGGGCCCGAGGGCTGAGCCACCGGCGCCAAGCCCTGTCCGACTGCCATCGCTTCGGGGTCCCACGCAGCCTCCAACATCCTCTACAACTTCAAAGAGCGGAGGAGGAACAGCATTAACAGGAATTTCGTGGGTGATTACCTGGGCATGGAGGAGCGGCCAGAGCTGCGCCAGTTCCTGGCCAAGCGGGAGCGGATAGATTTCGCCGACTCCGTCACAAAGTACGACCGGAGGTTCAAGGTATGTGGAGCCATGTGGGGCTTGGGACAGGCCAAGCCATGGCTTGTGGTGGCTGCCCTTAGGTGGGCTGTGTGCGGGGCTCATGCCCCCCCCAAAAAACACCCCCTCACCCCTGGCTCCTGCCCTTTCTCAGCCCATCAAGCGGGACTTCATCCTCACCCCCAAGTACTTCTACCTGATCGGGCGGGAGAAGGTGAAGAAAGGTCCCGAGAAGGGGCAGATCAAGGAGGTGCTCAAGAAGAAGGTGGAGCTGCAGGCGGTGAGCGGTGTCTCGCTGAGGTGCGTCCCCAAGCACGGGCTTCGTGGCGGGGGGGGCCGTGTGGTTGGGCTTCACCCACCAGCTCCACCAGCCTCTCCATGATCCGGGGCCCCGCCCCACCCCCTCGCCCGGGGA